TGCAATCAGCAGACATCATTGGAGAGGAAGGGAGCAGACAGAGGCCTTTTAAGAAAGGTGCAGGGGTGTGTACTTGCGTTTGACTCAGCGAGATTTCGCGGCTTTACTTCCTACTCACGACTGCGCATGTCTGGTCCCGAAAACGCAAGTGCGCAGACTCAAATTCCAAGATGTCATCGCCATATCGTGAGCGCGCGTAACCGTCACATCCTTTTGATTATTTTCCCGGCAAAAACGTCCCGATTATGTTTAATAACATAATTTAATTTCAATTCAGCATTTCAAACTTAACTTGTTAAGTGTGTTTACTGCCTGTCTTTAAAAGTAATTGACAATGATATGACTACTTGTAAATTTGTCTCAATCTAAAACAGAACTAAATTGTTTTCTGTTATTATAGCCTATATCTTACAGTTTAATATCTGTTCTTAATATTTTGCCTCAAAATATTGAAAAACATTAGGCTATAAGCAGGCCTTTAGGGAAAAATAAACTGTGAAAAATGTAAGTTCACTTTTAAACCATTAAAATGAATTCTACCATAATAATAAAAATCACTAAGCTTGAACAAATCTAAACAGACCTCTGTATAGAATTCATCTATATTTCATTACAAATCAATTCATGGCAACCTTGAATTCAGCGTTTTCATCGGTTTAAAAACTTCACACACGAAGAGAAGCATCGTTCAGAATGAATCAGTGATTCATTTGATTCATCCATATAATGCACACCGACACGTGGCTGCTAGCATGTTCTTAATGCACCAATTTTCTCTCTTCTCTTCGTCCTGAGTGCTTTCCATTTTTTATCTAATCATCTCTCTCTCTCTCATCTCAATTTTTCCAGCTAAGTGATAGAAACACAGCGGCCTGCCTGCTGCCAATCTCTGTTGCCATGCCGACGGTTGCCGGGTGAAGGTGTGTTATGTTTGTTGTGTTGGTTGGTTTTGAGTGAGCCTTGATGAATTGCTCTGATAACACACAGTGTTATTGTCATCCATCAATATTGTCCCAAATATAATATAGCCTACCTGCACTCTTCATTTCACTCTCTGAATTGTCTTTAATTATTTTCTGTAGAAAATGTTTATTCATTTAAAGAAAAATCAAAATGCATGCAGTTAGATCTGACTCAATATGAAAAATAAGTAAATGCCCTTAAACGTGTCAGTAAACAGAATGACTCGAATCACGATAGATGTGACTCTTTACATTTTACTCATTATTAGCCCCTATTTTGATGATTTCTTTCATGATTCTATTTAATTGTATTAAAATAATGATAATAATAATAACAGTTGTATTATTTTATTGAAAAATTTCGAATGTGTTTTTTTTCTAAAATGATGTATTAATTTTCTCATTATTTTTCTCATTATTTTCCTTTTAATTTTCTATTTATAATAATAATAATAATAATAATTTTATTAAAATATCAAATCTTATATTGTCAAAAAAAATTCTAATTTTTCTATTTTTATTTAAAATATATTTTTTATTTTTTCATTAGGCTATTATTTATTTTTTTATTTTCTTTTTCGTGCAATCACTGCATCATTTTATTGTAATTAAAATATTTTTCATTATCATACATATGTAGTTTTTCTCTAAAATAATTTTATTTAATAGTTTTAATAGTAATATAATTTTATTATTAAAATTTTTTATTATTTTATTGAAATTAAAATATTATTTCATTGTCGTATAGTTTATTTTTTTCTAAAAGAGATTTTAGAAGAAACATCTAAAAAACAGCAGTTAACTCTCCAGTGTGCCGACATGTTCCCTCAGAAGCCGGATGGTGTGTGTGTGTGTGTGTGTGTGTGTGTGTGTGTGTGTGTGTGTTTTATTGGGCTTCTTTTTGACCATATATGAGAGAAAGCGTTCCCTGGCCTCTCTTGCCCAGGAAATGTCCCACAACTCAAGAAAACTCCAGCGAGGATGAAGTCAACAGTTATATTTATTGCAATTTTATATACAAACAACCCTTAAAGGCACTGTTTAAATAAGGATATAATGATTTTCCTTTTGATAGCTAACATAGGTTGAATATAGTTTAGTTTGAATTATATATTAAAATTTAGTAGAGTGTAAAAAAAGGCCACATGAAGGATATTTTCCACCTCAGCAAGCTGGGACAGTTTGCTTGTAAAAGTTCCTCTCTGAGCAGAAATAACGTGCATTTCACCGTCACAATGTAATGAGACAAAAACAGCACGTTAAACATGTGAAAACAGGAAGACTTCCGTCAATATTCACACAAACCAGTTAGAAGAAGGTTCAAACGAAAGAAAAAAGCATATTGCATGAAAGCGGCTGTGTTCAGAAGAATACACTGCATACTGCCTGCGCTTTTAAAACTGTGTGTGTTGTGCAACAACAAACATGTTTATTTCAGCATGGAGCGTCTGCTTTTCCCAGAAGATTCTCAGAACGTTCTGCCAAGGTTATGAACAAACATTCAGGAACGTTAATATAATGTTTATTTAAAGGGGAAACTCGAAAGATTAGAATATGGTGCAAAAGTTCATTTATTTCAGAAATTCAACTTTAAAGGTGAAACTATAGACTCATTACATGCAAAGTGAAATATTTCAAGCCTATTTGTTATAATTTTGATGATTATGGCTTACAGATATAAAAAAACCTTTTCACAATATTAAAATTCTGAATTTGGGGTTTTCATATCTGTAAACCATAATCATCAAAACTGTAATAAATAAAGGCTTGAAATATCTCACTTTGCATGTAATGAGTCTATATAATATATATTAGTTTCACCTTTTAAGTTGAATAAATGAACCATATTCACCTGTATATGGTCTTTAATAATGTTATCAAAACATTAGATCAAACATGTTATTCATGCATCATTTATGGAACGTTTTTAAACATTACTATTTGCAATAGAAACGTTCCCACATCACTTGCAAAATGAGAAAGTAGAGACACCATTAAGGGAAATAATCACATAACCAAGTGCATTATGAGAACATTAATGCAAAAATGTCAGTTTTGGTGTCGGATCAAATTAAGATTCAAAGAAAATTCAAAATTACAATGGAAATGGAAGGTCAAGTGCAGTGCATTGTGGTATAGAGTTTTCTGTGCTCATTTTTGGCAATTGTTACATGTTGTAGTACATACAGTTACGTGTAAATGTATATATATGCCGAAAATGGACATATTGCGCACAGTACATACAGTCTGCTATTCTGAACACATCTGAGAGGTGCGATCACGTGGACTGGACTGCTAGTAACGCTCATCATGCTCACTAGAGGTCAGTATAACTTGGTTATTTAACATCAATCCACAAACTGAATTACAAGCATTTCTCAGATCTAGGGAAGGTTTGTCCAGTTTTAAATCTGAATTACATTTCTCAGTTTTATTTGTAGTTTTGGCATGTACTGTAACATAAACAAAGAGAGAGGCATAACCATATTTCCCTCACAAAATTTAGAATATCAAGCAAAAGTTCATTTATTTCAGTAATTCAACTTAAAAGATGAAACTAATATATTATATAGACTCATTGAGATATTTCAAGCCTTTATTTGTTATAATTGTGATGATTATGGCTTATATGAAAACCTTTTCACAAGGTTTCATAAGCTGTAATCCATAATCATCAAAATTACAACAAATAAAGGCTTTAAATATCTCAATGAGTCTATATAATATTTAGTTTCACCTTTTAAGTTGAATTACTGAAATTTTTCAAAATTTTTAATACACTTTTTAATTTTTAATTACATTTTTGAATTTTTTTTCGAGTTGTATCTGGAAGATGACGTATCTTAAAAAAGGTTACGTTTAAAATCAGAAGCAAGTCAAATTAGTAATTTCTCACAGATTTGAGATTTTCTTTCGCTCGCTCTCAGCTGCCAAACGTTGAAGCCCTTTCCATGATCAGAGCGGCTGCGTTTCTCACAGTCTCACACAACTGGAACGTCAACAAAACCCTGAAACACTCGTTCTGTTCAAACCCAGCGAGCCGCTACAGACAGACAGCGTGTGTTAAGGCATCATTGGAAGGCTAGCAGCAAATTTGAGTACAGAATCGATATAAAATGGTGATGAGGCAAGGGAAATGATAATAAATAATTAAACACTGAAAAGTACTGAGATTATTGATATACAGGTGAAACTCAAAAAAAGTTAATTTATTTCAGTAATTCAACTTGAAAAGGTGACACTGATATATTATATAGACTCATTACATGCAAAGTGAGATATTTCAAGACTTTATTTGTTATAATTTTCATTATTTTGACTTAAAGCTTATGAAAACCCCAAATTCAAAATTAGAATATTGTGAAAATTTTGTTTTCATATCTGTAAGTCATAATAATAGGCTTGAAATATCTCACTTTAATGTAATGAGCCCATATAGTATATTAAAGGAGTAGTTCACTTAAAAAAAAAAAAAAAAACTTTTGCTGATAATTTACTCACCCCCATGTCATCCAAGATGTCCATGTCTTTCTTTTTTCAGTTGAAAAGAAATTAAGGTTTTTTGATGGAAACATTCAAGGATTTTCTCCATATAATGGACTTCAATGGGAACCAAACGGTTCAAGGTCCAAATGAGAATTTCAGTGCAGCTTCAAAGGGCTTTAAACGATTTCAGATAATGAATAAGGGTCTTATCTAGCGAAACGATTGGTCATTTAAAAAATAAATAAAAAAGTTTAAGTTTTATAAGGACAAATGGTCGCCTTGCTCTGTTCTGTGATGCGCGTTCGTGACTCTCCCGTTCAAACTCGTTCATCAAAATGAACAAATCTTTTTTCGAGTCATGACTCGAAGGGTCCTACTCTCATTTGGACCTTGAACCATTTGATTCCCATTGAAGTCCATTATATGGAGAAAAGCCTGTAATGTTTTCATCAACAACCCAACTTTCTTTTCGACTGAAGAAAGAATGACATGGACATCTTGGATGACACGAGGGTGAGTAAATTATCAGCAAAAGTTTTTTTTGTTTGTTTTTTAAGTGAACTACTCCTTTAGTTTTACCTTTTAAGTTGAATTATTGAAATAAATGAACTTTTGCACCATATTCAAATTTTCTCACCTGTAATTATAATCATTCAAATTATTTATTTGATTTACAATGGACTGTTTTATATTTATATGTATGCTTATTGCTATTGCTTTATGTTAGCAACATGTCAATGTCAAAACACAATGTTCACATGAAGAACACTCTCATATCAGTTCCTATGTGGACTCACTGGGTTCCAGAACAGAGTTTAATATCTCGTCTTGTTTCTGTCGCCGCTCTTAAAACATACGATTAATGCGATTATGTTTTTAAACATCCATAAAGTCTAGCCGAGATACAAACCAATAGAATGAGAAAGAATATGAAGGACAGAGCTGGGAAGAAGTCATCACTGAATGGCTTTCGGTTTGGGCCGTCTGTGACAGTCTGTGATGGAAGTTTTGGTGTGATGTCCAGTGGTCCACCGCTACGCCAACAGCCCTAGTCGCTTGACCTTGGCTGACAGGAAAGAGTGAATGATGAAGACGATGGTTTTAGGGCAGGAGTGAAGGTCCAGTTGCTGAAAACCAGGAGAAAGAGAAGAATGACGTTAAATTCTGAGAATAAGATCCTAATAGTCTCACGGTTCAGAAGAGATCTCAATGTGAACTCATCAAACAGTTGAGCTGCACAATTAATCGTTAAAAGATCGCAATCTATCAATTTAAACACCCACATGATCTCATTCCTAAATGACAGTGATTCGGCTCCGTCTATTAAATAGACATTTGTTTGAAGTTCAGATATAAACATTAATGTCTACGGAAGCCATCAAAATAGAGTCAAAGTAACATGTTGCTTCAAATAACGATTGCATCGATTATATCGTTACGCCAGTAGGAGGCGACAATTGACTGTTAAAAATGTGTTCGTCATTGAATCAATCATTCAAAACAACTGATTCATCCAGTATTGAAACAACAAGTCAAGTATTTATGAGTGAATCTTTGAATCATTCATTCAAGAGATTTGCTCAAAACAACTCATTCATCCAGTATTGAAACAAGTGAAGTATTTATGAGCGAGTCATTGAATCATTCATTCAAGAGAAGCATTCAAAACAACTGATTTATCCAGTATTGAAACAAGTGAAGTATTTATGAGCGAGTCATTGAATCATTCATTCAAAACAACTGATTTATCCAGTATTGAAACAAGTGAAGTATTTATGAATGAGTCATTGAATCATTCATTCAAGAGACAAATTCAAAACAACTGATTCATCCAGTATTGAAACAAGTGACGTATTTATGAGTGAGACATTGAATCATTCATTCAAGAGAATTACTCAAAACAACTGATTCATCAGTAATGAAACAAGTGAACTATTTATGAGCGAGTCATTGAATCATTCATTGAAGAGAATCAATCAAAACAACTGATTCATCCAGTAATGAAACAAGTGAAGCATTTATGAGCGAGTCATTGAATCATTCATTCAAGAAAATCACTCAAAACAACTGATTCATCAGTAATGAAACAAGTTAACTATTTATGAGCGAGTCATTGAATAATTCATTCAAGAGAATCATTCAAAACAACTGATTCATCCAGTATTGAAACAAGTGAAGTATTTATGAGCGAGTCATTGAATCATTCATTTAAGAGAATCATTCAAAACAACTGATTCATCCATTATTGAAACAAGTGAAGTATTTATGAGCGAGTCATTGAATCATTCATTCAAGAGAATCATTCAAAACAACTGATTCATCCAGTATTGAAACAAGTGAAGTATTTATGAGCTAGTCATTGAATCATTCATTCAAAACAACTGATTTATCCAGTATTGAAACAAGTGAAGTATTTATGAGTGAGTCATTGAATCATTCATTCAAGAGAAGCATTCAAAACAACTGATTTATCCAGTATTGAAACAAGTGAAGTATTTATGAATGAGTCATTGAATCATTCATTCAAGAGACTAATTCAAAACAACTGATTCATCCAGTATTGAAACAAGTGAAGTATTTATGAGCGAGTCATTGAATCATTCATTCAAGAGAATCATTCAAAACAACTGATTCATCCAGTATTGAAACAAGTGAAGTATTTATGAGCTAGTCATTGAATCATTCATTCAAAACAACTGATTTATCCAGTATTGAAACAAGTGAAGTATTTATGAGTGAGTCATTGAATCATTCATTCAAGAGAAGCATTCAAAACAACTGATTTATCCAGTATTGAAACAAGTGAAGTATTTATGAGTGAGTCATTGAATCATTCATTCAAGAGACTAATTCAAAACAACTGATTCATCAGTATTGAAACAAGTGAAGTATTTATGAGCGAGTCATTGAATCATTCATTCAAAACAACTGATTTATCCAGTATTGAAACAAGTGAAGTATTTATGAGTGAGTCATTGAATCATTCATTCAAGAAAAGCATTCAAAACAACTGATTTATCCAGTATTGAAACAAGTGAAGTATTTATGAGCGAGTCATTGAATCATTCATTGAAGAGAATCAATCAAAACAACTGATTCATCCAGTAATGAAACAAGTGAAGCATTTATGAGCGAGTCATTGAATCATTCATTCAAGAAAATCACTCAAAACAACTGATTCATCAGTAATGAGACAAGTTAACTATTTATGAGCGAGTCATTGAATCATTCATTCAAGAGAATCATTCAAAACAACTGATTCATCCAGTATTGAAACAAGTGAAGTATTTATGAGCTAGTCATTGAATCATTCATTCAAAACAACTGATTTATCCAGTATTGAAACAAGTGAAGTATTTATGAGTGAGTCATTGAATCATTCATTCAAGAAAAGCATTCAAAACAACTGATTTATCCAGTATTGAAACAAGTGAAGTATTTATGAGCGAGTCATTGAATCATTCATTGAAGAGAATCAATCAAAACAACTGATTCATCCAGTAATGAAACAAGTGAAGCATTTATGAGCGAGTCATTGAATCATTCATTCAAGAAAATCACTCAAAACAACTGATTCATCAGTAATGAGACAAGTTAACTATTTATGAGCGAGTCATTGAATCATTCATTCAAGAGAATCATTCAAAACAACTGATTCATCCAGTATTGAAACAAGTGAAGTATTTATGAGCTAGTCATTGAATCATTCATTCAAAACAACTGATTTATCCAGTATTGAAACAAGTGAAGTATTTATGAGTGAGTCATTGAATCATTCATTCAAGAGAATCATTCAAAACAACTGATTTATCCAGTATTGAAACAAGTGAAGTATTTATGAGTGAGTCATTGAATCATTCATTCAAGAGACTAATTCAAAACAACTGATTCATCCAGTATTGAAACAAGTGAAGTATTTATGAGCGAGTCATTGAATCATTCATTCAAGATATTTGATTCATCCAGTCATGAAACATGTGAAGTGAGTAATTGAATCATTCACTAAATCCTCAAATCAATTTTTTAGAAACTGCAGCAATTAACATTTTGTCAGTACCTCTAGTAAAAAGTACATGTTATTTTTGTTTAGTTGTCTGATCCGAATCATGAAAGAATCGTGATCTCTATTCGAAACAAAATAATCGTGATTCTCAATCTACCCAGAATGCAGCTCTAGGAAGGAGTAATGCTTCATAAACCATCAGTGTGTAAAGTGCAAAACTGTGTCTCACGATCTCGGCTTCTGGGCCTCCGAAGTCGAGGAACATCATGCGTACGCCGTCGTCCGAGGACATGCGCAGACGCTCGAACGGCTGCTGGAGGAGAACGTTCTTCCTGACGCCGGCCTCCTCCGTGAACAGCGAGAAGCCTTTGTCTATGTGAACGCTCAGCAAACACGGCTTCCCGTTCCAGCTGCACGCTGCGGGAAACACACAGCAACAGAGGCTTTAATCACAACTCAAATCAGTTTAAATAAAGCTGGATTCAAAAATAGAAAAATTAGATTAGAAAAATTGTACTTATTTTTGAATAAAAATAAAAATCAATGAAACCTAAATCGCAATAAAGCTGACAGACATGCATAACAAAAATGTATGAAAAATAAATTTGAATTAAAATGAAATAGGCAAAAAAAAAACACTGTAATAGTATAAATAAATAACACTTAAATTGGCAAACATTATAACAACTACATAAATAAAAATATATTCCTCATTTGTTGGTCATTTTGGTTAAAATCGTATGCCAAATAAATCAAAAATTAAAAAATACTGTACAAATTATATTGCAACTAAAACATTAAACAAAACTATTTCATGACCTCATTATGCATCTAATGAGAGCCAGTTATCAAATATGAAATAAAAATGTATTTTTAATTATGGCAGACTGGAAAAACAATCAAGGTAGACATGAAATGCAATGCATTATGGGAAATGCAGTTCATCGATCTGATATTTTATTCTAACCGTTACTCCTGATCGGAGGCTGCCGTAAATATTTAGTTGGAACGTAGAGTTACGTTTAAACCAAGTTTAATGGTGCAACGTAAAAAATATTTAGTGGTGCATAGGTTGCCCATTTACGTCAACTAGGCTAAGTTGTAACTTTCGCACAGCTGGTGTAAACACATCTTTGAGCCAGCAGAGGGCGATGTAAACCCACACACACACATCTCACACCTGTTTGTGCCCTGATGCATGTCTGTGAGAGCGTTACCTGTGGTGACCTCCTGCACGAGCTCGGCGGCCCCGTGGGAGCCCTCCACCAGCAGGTGTGTCCAGGTGGACAGGTCTTTGGCAGTGTCCACTCGGAACAGGTGCGTCTCCACCCCCTGCTTCGTGCCCAAACGCAGACCGAACGTCAGCTCAGAGTCGTGCACTGACGAGCTCTTCCCCGGGCCAGAGTGAACCAGCCTGACACACACAGCACATATTACTATACATACAACTCAACTCATTACTCATTAATTACTCAACTGAACAGATGTGACGCTAAACGTGATTGGATGAGGCATGTTTGCATGATGAATCACAGATATAGTTAGAATTGTTTATTGTAATGTTATGGTTGTTAATTGTTTTTTAAGAAAATATCAATAACAAAACAACAAAAATACATTACTACATATAGAAATTAGAGCCCGACCGATAAAGGATTTTGAAGGCCGAAACTGATACAAATATTTTTGGGTTTTAAAATCCGATATTTTTTTTTTATTAAATATTGTTGGATTTCACACACACAAAGAAAAGCTAACTTTTCTGCACAAGATACCACGTTTGATACTTTTTCTCTCTGTCTAAATGTTCACTCCTCGCGAGTATAACTTACATTTTACAATGCAGGGACTGTAACTAGAGAAATGCTAGTTATAAATACAGTAATCATTACTTTATTTAGCCAGAAAAAGTTCATTGTGGTTTGCAAGCTCATTAATGTTAACGTTAGCGGTCTTCCACTGATGATAGTGGCATTAGCCTGCTTTGTGGTTAGCTAGTCTATGATGAGCCATAATTTAGCAATAGATAACATCATACTGCAAATTGTAAAACATACATTTTCAATAAAACAGGCCAAGGAGAGATGATTGAAGCGTGTTTCATCTGTTTTTATTTTTATTTTTTAAATATTCATTTATCGGCCGTTATAACTGCCGATACCGATATTTTGGAAAATGCCTAATATCGGCCGGCCGATATATCGGTCTGGCTCTAATAGAAATGAGGATAAAATGGAAAAATGGTATGGTATAGCCTAAGGATGTGTTAATTAACATTAATTACTGTAAATAAAAGAACAAATGAATAAGAAGGAATAAATTAATGTACAATTAATTTAATTGTTCGGGTTCACACACCTTTTGTTTAACAAGTTCTCATCGATGGGATTCCAGGTTATGAAAAGTCATAATAACTATGGTGATATTTTATATCAATTTATATCACTATAGATGTTTCATTTCCATGAATTTTCATAACCTGGAATACGTTTTTTTTTTTAATTCCTTGATATTTTCATGAGCAAGGGACAGAGCTTTTATCATAGATTGTGGTAAAGTCCCTGCCATGTATGTGTGTGTGTGTGTGTGTGTGTGTGTGTGTGAGAGAGAGTGAGTGGGTAGTGAATGTGTGTGTGTGAGTGAGTGGGTATGTGAATGTGTGTGTGAGTGAGTGAGTGAGTGGGTATGTGAATGTGTGTCTGTGTGTGTGTGTGTGTGTGTGTGTGTGTGTGTGTGTGTGAGAGAGTGAGTGGGTATGTGAATGTGTGTGTGAGTGAGTGAGTGAGTGAGTGAGTGAGTGAGTGTGTGTGTGAGTGAGTGAGTGAGTGAGTGAGTGAGTGTGTGTGTGTGTGAGTGAGTGAGTGAGTGGTTATGTGAATGTGTGTGTGTGTGTGTGTGTGTGTGTGTGTGTGTGTGTGCGTGTGTGTGTGTGTGTGTGTGTGTGTGTGTGTGTGTGTGTGTGTGAGAGTGAGTGAGTGAGTGAGTGGGTATGTGAATGTGTGTGTGTGTGTGTGTGTGTGTGTGTGTGTGTGTGTGTGAGTGAGTGAGTGAGTGAAAGAGTGAGTGAAAGAGTGAGTGAGTAAGTGAGTGTGTGTGTGAGTGAGTGGGTATGTGAATGTGTGTGTGTGTGTGTGTGTGAGAGTGTGTGGGTATGTGAATGTGTGTGAGTGAGTGAGTGATTGAGTGAGTGGGTATGTGAATGTGTGTGTGTGTGTGTGTGAGTGAGTGAGTGAGTGAGTGAGTATGTGAGTGTGTGAGTGAGTGAGTGATTGAGTGTGTGAGTGAGTGAGTGAGTGAGTGAGTATGTGAGTGTGTGAGTGAGTGATTGAGTGTGTGAGTGAGTGGGTATGTGAATGTGTGTGTGAGTGAGTGAGTGAGTGAGTGAGTGAGTGAGTGAGTGAGTGAGTATGTGAGTGTGTGTGAGAGTGAGTGGGTATGTGAATGTGTGTGTGAGTGAGTGAGTGAGTGAGTGAGTGAGTGAGTGTGTGTGTGTGTGAGTGAGTGAGTGGGTATGTGAATGTGTGTGTGTGTGAGTGAGTGTGTATGTGAGTGTGTGTGTACCTGGTGGTAATTAACGGATAGCTCTTGTCTGGGCTGCTGAGAGTCTCTTTGCTGTCAGGTAGAGATGTGTACAGCAGTAGATCTCTGTCCGTCAACAGCGCCAGTATCGGCCTCTCTGAACCCTGACAATACACACACACACACACACATCAGGCTCTGCTGCATGATTTCTCTCTCTCTCTCATATATATATATCTGATCATGTGTGTTTCTCGCCTGCTCAATGATCCAGCCGATGTGCCTGACGTCGAGGCTGGGCTGCAGGGTTCTCAGCTCCTCTTTGGCTCTGCTCAGTAAAGCTGCACTGCCGGTCTGGATGGCGTTATACCAGGCCTGAGCCATCGCCTGATCCTTCGCCCGCAGGAACACGGACTGCTTTCTGTCGGACGACACCACCTCGAAGTACCTACGAGAGTAGACCACACGACCAGGCTCAATATGACCTCTCACCGCATACTGCTTTTAAATAACAGGCATTATGCCATGTAATCGTTACAAACGATTCTCTTGTCAGCTAATGTCGTTCCTCAGTGAAATTATAGGCTGATTTTAGTGCATTAATGTAGTATTTGCTGAGCCATCGCTGCTCTCTGTCTGATGAGACCACCTCGAAATACCTACAGAGAGAAAGATTTTTTTTTATTGTTATTTTATTATTATTTTATTATTGTATAGTGTTTTTAATGCTTTGGCAATTTAAAAATTTCTTTCAGCTATTTGAATCCTGAATCTTGAAAGACTCAATATGACCCCTCGCTGGATATTGCTTTTAAATAATAAGCATAATACCATACTAATCATTATAAACTATTTTTTTGCCAGCTAATAAATTAATTAATTGTAGGTTGATTTTTTTTGGGTGCATTACGACAGGAGGTTCATTCAATCACAGTCAAATCCTTGCAATATAAAATCAATTTGTTATAGCTTAATGGGCAATATTGCAAATCTATTAAATACTTTTTGACATTATATTACATTATTCAAAAGTTTTCTTTAAAATCAATTCATACTTTTATTCATCAAGGACTCATTCAAATGATCAAAAGTGACTATGAGGTTACACAAGATTATATTTTAAAAAATGCTGTTCTTTCGAACTTTCTATTCATCAAAAAATCCTGAAGAATAAAATATATCACAGTTTCCACAAAAATTTCAACATTGATAAAGGAAAGGAATAATCAAAGGAATAAATTACACTTTACTATGTATTCACATAGAAAACAGCTACTTTAAACTAATAATATTTCAATTTTTTACTGTATTTTTGATGCAGCCTTGGTGAGCATAAAATACTTATTTATGTTTTAAATTAAAGAATCATACTGACCCCAAACTTTTGAACAGAAGTGTATATTATCTGTTTTAATTATTATAAATCGATATACCTGCCTGGGTTTTTTAGAGAAAAAACTTTTTAATGCATGTATAAAATGAATAACTGTTTAGTAATCTGCCATAGAACGTGTTTAATGTTTGAAGTCCTGCTGTTATATATGAAACACTAATATGTAAGCTGTGTGTGTGTGTCTGTACCGGTCCTCTGTGTCAGGCGGACACTGTTTGCGGGTCACATGGCACATTCGGAGAGGGAGGCTCCGGGTCTCTTTCAGCGCGGGGTCCGACTGCTTCTGTGGGGTGGACGGAGGAGAATCCAGCACTGGGGGTCCCGACGTCGAGCCACCCTTAAAAAACGCTGACATCTCCTTAATGTACTTCACTACAGAGAAACAGAGAGAGAGAGAAGGTTGTATTAGAGCGACTGGTTTACATCAAGCTTTCAAAAATACTTCCTTCATCTCCTTCTATCTGTTTCACCTTCTCTCGTCTCATTCTCTCTCTTTCTCGTCTTGATGTGATGAGGTTCATATATAGATTTTCTTTTTAAACTCAGCTGAACTCTTGAGATATTTATTGAGATGTTTCTGTGCGTGTGGGACCATGCGATTTGCTTTTTGCGATTTGCAGTCTGTCAAGTCAAGTATATTTACTGTATATAGCGCTTTTATATAGATTGCATCAAAGCAGCTTCACAGTATCAATCAAAACATAATAATAATGTTCGTTTCTTAGTGGAAAAATATCCACGTTTGGTAGAGCTGATCAGGGGTATTACTGATAATGGTTAATTTTCTGTGTCAGTATGTGTGTCTGTGATTGTGTGTGTGTGTGTGTTTCATTCTGTCATTATACACGGAGTAATTATTCCTTTTGCTCATTGTAATGGATTTTTGCAATTTAAACAGTATTTTACTGTAATATGTACAGTATAATACTGCTAAAGAAGCCAACAGTAAAATACTGTAAATAGCAAAGGATCTTGGGGAAATATATGCTCACTACCGTAATTCTTCTCTACTGTAAATCGATTTACAGTACAATATAAAAAATGCTGGGTTGGTTTAACCCAATTTGGGGTCAAATATGGACAAACCCAAATGTTGGGTTAAAAATGTAATTAAACACTTTAACCCAACTGCTGAGTTAATCCATATTTGACCCAAAGTTGGGTTGAAACTACCCAGCATTTTTTAGAGTGTAGCAATAATGGTAACCATAAACTCACCAATGGCAAGGGAGATTTCTTTTCAAGTTTTTTTTTTTCCCGGTTGTTGGGAAAAACTGAGGATCGGCTCAACAAAAAGGTTAGTACTTTTTCTTTACTTATTTTATGTAAGAATGAGATATTAATAATAATAAGATGTAGTACGAAACTCAATTCCAATACTGTAAATAAAAATACGGTACTTGTACTGTAAATGAAAAACACAGTACTCATACTACTATAAATAAAAATGAAGTACACAAAATTACAGTAAAAATACTGTGAACACCTTTGGAGAAACTTACTGGCATCCAGCTGCCAATAAGTTACTGTAAAATTTACAGCAACCTTTAAGTATCATGGTGAAATACGGTCACGTCTTTGTAACTCTTTACGGCTCAGCAAACACACTGTTATGAGCAGATTGGGACACTAGCATGCTCCTAGTAAACACTTAATAATGGCTCATATTTACAATAGTAGTGTAGCACTGTGCACGATGCAACTTTTTTTCTTTGAATGCATGAATAAAATCAAATTATTTGAATTAAAAATAATTAAAATGCCTTACGTCACAGATGGTGATGTTCGGATCGGGACACGAATAGTTTGTGTAACAGTTTGCATGATGCAACAACTGACATTTTAAATAGTAGTGTTGTCACATGACCTCATGACTAGAAATTAGGATTATTTTAATGCATGAATAAAATAAAATTATCTGAATTAAAAAATAAAAATGTCACATGCATTATGCAACAGATGGTGATGTTCAGATCGGGACACTAGCATTTGCTGCAAGAATTTGTGTAACAGTTTGCATGATGCAACAACTAACATTTTAAATAGTAGTGTTGTCACATGACCTCATGACTAGAAATTAGGATTATTTTAATGCATGAATAAAATAAAATGATCTGAATTAAAACATAAAAATGTTACATTGCAGATATTCGATGCATACTGTGCACTGCAAGATTATGCTATTTTAAACACAGCCTTAGACTCAGCTTGTGGGCACAACCCACTAAACACTGAAATCTTGATGATTAAAGTTGAACGGCCGCCCACTGATCCAATAACTACCAATAGCGCAGCTTTAGATGAAAGAGGAAGAGTTCTGCACCACCAAAAATAAAATCAGTTCCTGTAGGAAAGTATTGCTCAGTCGGTTTCCACTGGAGCGTCAGACCAGAGTCAAGATCACACAAACTAGAGGCAGATTCTGACGCTTTAGTTTTACATGTATCGACAAAGACAATGCATAATATACAGTATGCATGCTGACAGAAATAACTAGAGGTTTGAGGTTAACAAATGCTTGACTTGATGAAGCCTAACGCTTGGTGAAGATGAGCAGGTATGAGAGAGAATCTTAATGCTAGGAAGTTTAACAACAACACAAGGAAACAGGGTTACACACACACAGAGATACAAACAAGCTTACTGTAACAAGGGGGCAAAAGGGAAACACCTGGAGAACTAAATCAACATGTAAAACACATGACGGAAACAACATAAAAGTCCACAAGCACACAGGGAACAAATGACACTTGAATAGGCTGAGGGAATATATGACACTTGAAGGCTGAATATTCGAGTTTATTAGGCACTGCACACACTACTTAGGATCTGTCAAAGCTACGATGAAAAATGCATCAAAAATGTCCACATA